CCCCACCCCGGCCACGTGCTGAGGTCCAAAAAGGGATGTGATTGGGGTCTTCGGTGTGGATGTGGGCTGGGGCGGGGGGTGATGCAAACAGAGGGGGACATGGCTGTGGCCTTGTAGGAATCGCCTCGAAGCAGGGTGTCGGGTCTCCAAGGCGCGATGTCGGACCTTCCCAGGCAGACAGGCACCTTCTGCTTGGTAAGACGGCGCCCATCTCCTCTAGCAGCCTTCCCTTGCCCGCCCACCAGCCCTGGGATTCCTCCTCTGAAAACGGGGACCCCTGGACATCTCATGTAGCGAGATCACTCACACTTCTGCCGGAATCCACTTCTTGCCTGCCGTCCGTCGTGTGGTTTGGGGGCTCCAGCTGCAGGCCCTGGGCCCGGCTGCTTAGCATATTTCAGTCTGGGACCCTGATGTAGCCGAGCCGAGCCATCTCGGACAAGTGCCTGAGCCTCTCCTGTGTTTAATCTGAAAAGGGGGAGTGAGATTCGGAATTCGTGCCTGCAGGGAAGTGACCTGCCTCACTGTGACCTGCCTCCTCCGCGCTTACTGAGGCCCCAGGTGCCTGCAAGCCGGCCTCTCCGGGAGAAGGAAAGCTCTCTCGGGGCACACACAGACCCTCTTTCCTCGGCCCCCACCCCAGCCCCTGGTCTCACCTTCTCCCTGGGGCCCAGAGGGTGTCCGCCTCCTGGGGTGCCCCCCAGCGGAGACGGACAGAGAGTCCTGGGAAGCCCGGGGCCTGGCAGACGCCTTTATCAGGACCGGACTGGCCCTGGCAGATAATGGGCTTGTTTTTTTCTGTTAGCTCAATTCTAGGAAACACCGTGGGGTGGGCCCACTCTGTGCCCGAGGATGCCAAGAAAAACATGGTTCCAGAAGGTCCCCCTTGGGTCCTTAATTTGGAGGCAGGCTGGCAGCTGTGTGTGTGTGTGGGGGGGGGGGGGAAGACTCTCCATGGGGCACCAGCTTTATGCTGACCTCTGGCCTGCATTATCTAACACCCTACGCCAACTACATGAGGTGGGGATCCACGTGGTCCCCATTTACAGATGAGAAAACCGAGCCCCACGGAGCTCAGTGACTGCTCTCAGGTCCTAGAGGGAGGTGGGGATTGGAGCCCAGGACCATCTGACCCAGGGCCTGTGTTCCTCGTCCTGATCTTGGGCCCTCGGAGTGCCCAGAGGAGACGGCCACTGAGGGGCAAGGTTCGGCTCTTCCTCATGTGGAAGGGGGCACTGGTGGCTGAAGCTCGGGGCTTGAGGCGTCTGGGGGCCACACAGAACATTCCTTCCGGGTTCCTGCTTCTGAGACTCCCTGCCTTTATTTATTTATTTATTTTTAAAAATATATTTTATTGATTTTTTTACAGAGAGGAAGGGAGAGAGATAGAGAGCTAGAAACATCGATGAGAGAGAATCATCAACCAGCTGCCTCTTGCACACCCCCTACCAGGGATGTGCCCACAACCAACATACATGCCCCTGACCGGAATCGAACCTGGGACCTTTCAGTCGGCAGACCGACGCTCTACCGCTGAGCCAAACCGGTTTCAGCGAGACTCCCTGCCTTTAGTTCACACTCTGTGGCCAAAGCTCCAGTTACATCCTTCTCCCCCATCCTGTCCTCCTTCCCAGATACACAGGACACTGGGTGTCCTCTCCCACCTTCGGGGAATGTCCCCACTCCATTCTCAGAGGCCACGTGTTAATAACATGAGTTAATAACACGTGCTAATAACACGTGACAGACAGGCGGGGTGTGGGGGGCCTGTGCCATCTGCCCTCTCCCTGGCAGAGGGATGGAGGTGACACCACAGGGCCCAGAAGCCTCTGTCGGACGTAGCAACAACAAACCAGAGCCTGGGTCCCTTGCATTGGACTTGGCCAGGGGTCGGCAAATTGTGGCTCGCGAGCCACAGGCGGCTCTTTGGCCCCTTGAGTGTGGCTCTTCCACAAAATACCATGACCTGGGCTAGTCTATTTTGAAGAAGTGGCGTTAGAAGGAGTTTACGTTTAAAAAAATTGGGCTCTCCAAAGAAATGTCAGTCATTGTGCTGTTGATATTTGGCTCTGTGGACTCATGAGTTTGCCGATCACTGATCTAGCCGACACTCTACATGGATACTCTAGTCCACGTGGAGATTCAAACACCAATCCAGCCCTGGCCTGGGGGCCTGGGGTGAGCCCCATCCAGTGCCCCTAGAGATCGCACAGGCCTGGTTGTGGGCTCGATCCCCAGTAGGGGTGAGCAGGAGACAGCCAACTGATGTTTTTCTCTCTCTCCCCCTCTCCCTTCCTCTCTCTCCAAAATCAATAAAAACATATTTTTAAGAAAAATACCAGTCGGAAAGCACACCATCCTGACTCCAAGGAGCCGTGGGGTGACCTGCTGTTTTACCCTGGGGAGCACGTGCTGGTTAACCCCCTCCCAGGAGAGTTCGTGGCTGGGAGCCGGGGTGGTGGGGAGCCATGTCCAGGCCCCCAGGTCGGGGATTCTGGGGGTTTCCCAGGCGGCTCGGCAGAGGTGGCCCTGCCCACAAAGGGGCTCCAGGTGGTTCCCTAGTGAGAGAGCCCCCGCCCATCAAGGGGCAGCGAACGGCCCAGCCTGGGCAGGGCCTCAGCTCATGGGGCTCCACTCCCAGCTATGCCAGCTGCAGGCCCCGCCCCGGGAGCACCCTGAGGTGTCCATCCGGGACCCTGTCTGACAACCGCGGTGGGGGGAAGGTCGGGAGTGGGGGACTCAGAGAGAGAGATGGGAAGTCGCAGAGCATCTGTGTGCAAAGGGCCTGAGAGATGAGCTCATTCCAGATGAAATGTCCTGCCAAGAGTCAGACGCTATGGCAAGCACCAGACGGGAGTGAGCAGGGCCTCCAGCTTTCCTATAAGGAAATGGGGTGGCCCGATGGGACGGACCCTAGGGGGGCTGGGGCAGAACAATGCCCAGAACCCCATGCTAACACGAGCTGGGAGGTGGGAGGCCCCTGGGGTTGTAAGGATGACATGGGCCCAAGTCCAAGGGCTGGCCCGGCACCCGGGGCGGGCAGAGACATGTGCCCAGGCCTAAGGGTTTTATAAGTCAAATGACAGCGAAGGTGCCGTTGAGAACTGCCATCCCTCTCCGGAGTCAAAGGCTTAAGCTCGCCAGAAATGTCCAGGTGAGTGTGATTTAGGCAAGGGGCAGGCTTTTTTTTTCTCTCCCCCCTCCCTCCCCATTTCCTCTGCTTATCAATAGAGAGCTCTAGGAGGTTCCCAAAATTCACAGGTCCGGGACCCCAAATCCCAGAGGCAATGAGCCTCCCACGGGGGTCCTAGCCCTGCAGGGAGGAGCAGGGTCTAGAAGCATCTGAGCTCCTTCCCTGGGCAGCCTGTGTCCACTGTGGGCCTCCTGAGGGCCGGATCCAGCTTCCGACAGCCACAGGCAAACGTCAGCGCATGCTCTGTGTTGGTGGCAGGGGCCTCAGAGGCAGGACGCTCATTCCCGGAAACACGTTGGATTTGTTTTAATTCTATCTAACTTAATTAACTGTTATTATTTTCTTTCCAGTTCTCCCCACAATAGAATTTGACCCCCTATGGACGCTATCGTTTTCCCAACCCAGAAGGGGCGGGCAGTCCCAGAGAGAGCACCAGACTTTGTTCTGGGGATCAGCGCCATTGACAGGTAATCTAACCGGAGGGCCAACCCAGACACCCGCGAGGAGAACAGACTGCAGCCAGCTGGCCCTAAAGACACACTACAATACTTTGTTTTAAAGGCGGGGGAAAGAGAAGGGCGGAAGTGCCTCTGGGAACTGGGAGTTTTCTTGGGACAGATAAGGCTTGAGTGTCTCTAGACTCTAAACCTTAGGGATCTGGGATGAGCGAATGGGGGAGGGGAGAGGGGGTCGCGGGGAGGGTTTACAACCAGCAGCAAAGAGGGGAGAGTACCAGCGGGAAGGGGCCCACCGAGGGTCACGTCCAAGGCCACGTTGGCAGGAGGGAGCCTGAAGCCTCCTCTATTCCCACTCCCTTCCTGGAAACCCCAGGTGGGGAGCGGCTAACAGCAAGGGAACCTTGACCTGCTGTGTCCTCTCTCCTTGCAATATTCCACCGCAGGCCTTGGGGGGTGGCGGCCCTTTACAGATGGAAGCTATTTCTCTAAAAAGAAGCAAACCCGAAGCCTGCTTCGCCGAGGACGCGGATCCTGGGACTCAGGAGTTCAGCCGCTTAAGTTTTACTTGGAGGCGGGGCGGGCGTGACTCAGTGGTTGAGCATCGACCTGCGAACCAGGAGGTCACAGAAGGATTCCCGGTCAAGGGCACATGCAGGCTCCATCTCCAGTAGGGGGCGTGCAGGCGGCAGCCGATCAATGATTCTCTCTTCTCCCTTCCTCTCTGAAATCAGTTTAAAAAAATAGACTTAAGGAAGTTTCCTTGGGAGAACTTGGCCTTCGCAGACCTCCAGGCAAAGGGCAGCAGGAAAGGCGGGAAGATCAAAGGCCAGCCCCCTGCCGACAGCCCCCTCACACCCCGCCCCCGGCCAGGCCCCTGGGCCCTCCGGTTTCCAGCGCGTCTGGGATGGAGTCAGAGATCCAGACGGCGCCCGGGGCCCCATCTGCCGCCGGTCCCGGGCCCAGGGGCGAGCAGAGGGGGCTTTGGGTGTCTGGTCGCTGCTCCGAAGAGCCTCGGGAGGTCCCCGGGCAGGGGGGGGGGGGGGCCTCAGCGCGCCCCAGATGGTACTGGGGCCGGGAGCGCAGCGTGGAGGGGGCCCCCTACTCCGAACCCCACTCCCCCCAAGCCCAGGCCCCCGCCCGGGCCGCCCTCCTCGAGCTCAGAGGGGCTCCGGCTCGCAGATTTGAACGGCGGAGGCCGGGCGGCCGGGCTAAGGCTCCCCGAGGCCATTGGCTGCGGCGGCGCCGCGTGGTCGTGGGCGCGGAGGGCGGGCGGGGCGCGGGCGGGGCCTGGGAGGGGCGTGTCCCCGCGGCCGGGCCTGGCGGCCGGGAGGGCGGGCGGGAGTGGGGAGACGCCGCGGCGCGGACATGGGCCGGCTGTCCCCGCGCCTCGCGGAGCCCGCCCAGCGCACAGCCCCGCGGAGCCCGCCGCGCGCTCGCCTCCCCGGGGACCCAGGTAGGCGGCCGCGGTGGACACTGCGCCCCGCGAGACCCCGGGGCGCTCCGCGTGGGGGGGCGGGGGGTCTCGGACCCTCCTGGGGGGACAGAGAGGATCGAGAAAGCCGCGATCGGGGGCGTGGGGCGGGGGCCAGGGCCTCGAGACCCCCTCCTCCGCGCCGCCGTTCCTCCCCGCGCCCGGCCGTGGGTGGCGGGGCCGGGGCCGGGGCCGGGGCCGGGGCCGGTAGCCTGGCTCCCCGTGTCCGAGCCGAGCGGGGTTTGGCGGGGAGGCGGAGAGCTGGGCGATCTCCTCTCCCCAGATCGGGGCTCCCGAGCCCGGCCGGAGCGCGGTGGGTAGGATGGGGTGGGGATGAGGGTGCGGTGGGTGGGATGGGGGTGCGGTGGGAAGGGATGGGGGCCCGCGTGGGGTGTGTGTCGGCACCAGCGGCGCGCAGCCTGCGGGCTCCCCGAGGGGGGCGTGTGTGCGCCCCGAGTTCTCGGTGAATAAAAAGCCGATTATCCGCCCGCCGTGGCGGAGGCGTGCGCGCTCTCACTCGTACCCACACCGCAGTGCCGTGGGGGCCGGGGGAAGGCGGGAAGGTGGAAGGGGGCAGGAGCTGCCTGGAAGGGAATGCCCGAGACACACTCTCCCGCCTCCTTCCCCGCCAGCCTCCTCCGAAAGGCCGGGAAGCGGAGGCGGGAGAGGCCGGCAGGGTGGGGCCGGGCCCGGGAGGGCGCTCCGCGGGGGACCGGCGCGCCGGCGGCTCGGGGCCCAGCGCTCCTGGCGGCTCCCGGCGGCTCGGGGCCCAGCGCTCCTGGCGGCTCCGGGCGGCTCGGGGCCCAGCGCTCCTGGCGGCTCCCGGCGGCTCCCGGCGGCTCCGGGCCCAGCGCTCCCGGCGGGCGGCGGCCCGGAGCGGCCGCTAATGGCTTAATCTCCGGCTTGGGGCGCTGGAGCGGCGCTGGGGCGTCTCTGGCCCCGCCCCCTCCCCGGAGCGCCCCCCGCCGGGGGTGGGGGGTACAAAACGGTCCCCTGCTCTGGGGGCGCCCCCCCCCCCCAGCTGTCCCGCGCGCTGGGCCGCCGCCGGGGGCCCCCCCGGGCCCGGGGCGCTGGTGGGAGCCGGGAGCCGGGAGGGGGAGCGGGGGGCCGGAGCCCGGGGTGTGCGTGCGACGGGGCGGGGCGGGGGGAGGGGTGCCCTCCGCTAACTCGAACCAGATTCCTGGTGTTTCCTGGGGAGAGCCTGCAGCCCGGGCTCTGGAAGTTTTCTCTCTCCCCGGGGGGAATGGAGTGGGGGGAGCGCAATGCTTTTTCTTCTCCGGTCGTCGCCCCTTGCAATCTGACCGGCTCCCACGGCCTCCGCCGGCGGCCCCGGGGCCCGCGCTTCGCCCCTGTGTCTGCGCCTCTGGGTGGAGAAAGGGGGTCCCTGAGCTGTGAGGCCCCCGCTCCTCTCCAGAGGGTTTGGGGTGCTGGGGGAGACGGCCCCCCATCCTCTCCCCCGCCTGGCAGCCATCTGGCCCAGAGCGAGCCTTCCCCGTTCAGCCCGGGCAGACAATGAGCGGCCGGCCCGCCGCAGGAGGGCCTCCCGCAAAGCAACTTCGCACGGCCTGGGTTTCCAGTATCGCCCGCCCCCGCCCCTCTCCGAGGCCGGGGTGGAGGAGGGGACCACCGCCAGGGTGGACTGGATTTTAAGAGAACAAAGAACAGGGCACAAAGGAAAGGGGAGCTGCGCTGTGGGTTCCCCCCTGCAAAGGGGGGGTGTATGGGGCCAGGGCAGGGCTCAGCCCCAAACAATAAAGGCGGCATCTGCAGGCCCCGGTGCAGCTCAGTCCTCCCGGGGAGCCAGGACCCCGCTGGGGGTGTGGGGGTGCTGCCCTGTGAACCACATGTGATCAGAGATTAGAGGGTTTATCTCCTCCCAACTTGGACTTCACTCCGGGCCTCCTCCTTGAGGGCAGCTGCTCCTTCCCACCCACAAAGGGGTTCCGGGCACCTGGGGAGGCACCCAAGCTCCTTCTCCTGGTCTTTCCAGGGTTGGGGGGGTGGTCGGTATAAAAACATGAGCCTGCTCTCAGGAGGTGGAGTTTGGGGGGAGTCCCAGCCCCTCAGATACCCCTGAATGCATGGGCCCTGGCCACTCATGGCCCCGGCCACTCACTGCCCCATGCTCCTGTTCTCTCCGCGAGCTGCGGCCTCTCCTTGGAGCGTGCCTTCCATTTTCTGGGGTTTCTGCCTTTCCCCCTCCTTTCTCTCACACTCACTCACTGATGTCCAGACCCAGCCAGAGATGCCCGCACAGATGAGTCTTATCTACAAAGTGGAGCCAGAGGGAGCACAGGCAGAAGTTGACCTGGGAAGAGAGGATCTGAGACCCTTCCTGACACCTCCCGCCGGGGGCTTTCCCAGAAGCGCCTGGGGTTGGCTCTGGCTCTGGCTCAGGGAGTCCCACCAGTTGGAGTGGCTGGTTGATTTCTGTGGCCAGGACAGGCTGTGCCTAGGTGTGGCAGGCAAGGTGTTAGCAGTCTCAGTCTCTCTCTCTCCCCCCTCCTTTCCCCCCCATCCCCTCCCGTCTCTCCCCTTTGACTAGGTTGGGAGGGGAGGCGCCCAGGCCAGAGCGCCCAGGGTTGCCGCTGAGCAGTGGCCCCAGCCTCCTTCCCACGGCTCCCAGGAGCCGGTCCCTGGTGGGGGAGGGAGGCGTCTGTCCCTCGGAGGAACAGGATCTGGGCCGATGCCAGAGATAAGGCTTGGGCGGAGGGACGGGGTTGAGCAACTGTACCCTGGGAGCCGAGAGCGCTGACCCCGCTCAGGTCTCCTGACCTGTGTACCGGAAGCTCTTCTCCGACCTTGGGACACGGAGCCAGGCCCTGGAGCTCCTGGTGGAGGCCCTGAAGGCCAGCGCCAGGCGGACTCCCCGCAGCCCTCTCTGCACAGGTGTGTGTGCGTGTGCGTGTGTGTGTGTGTGTGTGTGTGTGTGTGTGTGGATGGACGTGGCCCTTCTCTGCTCGCAGCGCCTGTGAAGGAAGCTTAGCCTTTGGTCCCCCCTTCCCTCGTCCCCCAGCCCCCAACTGTGTCCCTGAGCCACATCTTGAAAACAGCTTCTTGGGGAGCCCTGGGCCTCCTTCCAGTAAGGAGGTAGGAGATTCCCCCAGGCCCTGCCAGCCTGCAGCTCGGGGCTCCAGGCCAGGGTGGCTGCTCTGGCATCCAGGGCCCTCCTCTGCTGGGCATAGGGCTCTGGTGGTCTCCACCCAGCAGTTCCTTAGAACGTGGCCTGGGGCCCTCGCTGGTTTGGCTCAGTGGATAGAGCATCGGCCTGCCGACTGAAGGGTCCTGGTTTCAATTGTGGTAAAGGCCACACGCCCAGGTGGTGGGCTCGATCCCCAGTAGGGGGCGTGCAGGAGGCAGCCCCTCAAAGATTCTCTCTCATCAGTGATGTTTCTCTCTCTCTCCCTCCCTCTCCCTTCCTCTCTGAAATCAATGAAATATATATATATTTTTTTCTTTTTTTATTTTTTTTTTAAAGAATGTTGCCTAGGTCCTAACGCATCCAAAGGGGACTGGTGCTCCCCCTTCCCCAGCGGGAGCACACTCAAATAACGGAGGTAGAGAGGCTGAGAGCACAGAGAACACCGAGGGATGGCTGGCTGGCTGGCTGGCAGTAAAACTTAGACACCGGTAGTGAGAACCCGGTTAGGTCCAAGGGACAAGGCTGTGTTTTGTGGGGAGGTTGAGCGGGCATTATTTTTTATTATTTGTGCATTATTTGTTGCTGGTAGTAGCACCCACAGGCCCCCCAAAATCCTGAGTTACAGAGGAGAACTCTCTTCCCTCCTCCCCCTCATTTATCCGGGTCAAACTGAAGCCAGAGGTTAGGAATGAGCCCCTGCACCGCCCTGCTTCCTGGAAGGTGACAGGTGAAGAGGGGAGGAGGGAGCCCGAGGGGCTGCCGTCTGCACTGGGCTCCAGAGTTTGGAGCACCCCGCTGCCCCCCCCCCCCCCCCCGTTCATCCTGGGGGTTCCCATGGACTTGGAAGGGGTCAGCCCTGGAGACTGGCTAGTGTCTCAGGCAACAGTGGAAGCGCGTGTCCCAGGTCAATGACGTGTCCTCTTTGAACTCAGCGAGTGACAGTGGCCAGAGTGTCGCTGGGGATGCTGGGATTTTCCTCCTACTTTTCAAGGGGTTCACGCAGGGCAGCGGCCGAGAGGGCGGGCTACCCAGCGCCACGGCCCTTGTTCTCGGGGTGCTGAGCGCTTGGCGGACATGAGTTTACTTAATCCTCCCAGTAAGGCTCCGAATTCAACATGTCACCGGTCCCTTTGAAAGCTGATGAGAAAACGGAGGCACAGTGCCCATGGTGGCTGAGTCAGCTCCAGGAACCGGGGGGGTCTGGCTCCGGAGGTCCCTGCTCTTCAGGCCCCCACCCCCTCCCCTTCCCCCTGCCCCACTAAATGCTCTGGCCGGACCGAGACCTCCGGCTCTGGGGAGAGTGCAGGCCGCCCGCCTCCCCCTGGAGGCCCCAGAGTGTCCTTTTAGTCCCAGCTCCTCAGCTGAGCACTGGGTCTCAGGAGAAGCGAAGTGAAACCGGCCGGGCCTGGCAGATCCGATTTCAAGCCCCGCCGCTTCCTCCTGAGGCCCCAGGCGGAGGGGAGCCGGGCCACTCCCAGCGGAGGGAGCCCCAGCTGCGAGGAGACCGGAGGCTGGAGGCTGGAGGCCGGAGGCCGTGGGCCCCACCGGGCAGCCTTCCCGGCTCCTGGCTGCCCCTCTGCTGCCTGTAGGGGGCAGGCTGGGGGGGGGGGGGGTGGAGGCCCGGAGAATGCCTCTCCAGGAAGAGCCCTGTAAACAAGCGAAGTTGCAAATGTCCTTGAGTCACTGGCTCTCCATTGGCTTGGCTCCTGATTTGTCTCTTCCTGTCACTCCCAGGTCTTGGCTGCTCCTTTCCCTTCCCTTCCGAGCCAGCCCCCGCTCCCCCACCCGCTGCTCTCACCGCCCCCAGGCCCACAGCCCGGGCTCTGGGGTGAGGAGGGAG